AGAGCCCCATCCTGCGGATATGACAAACCAAGCCGACGCTTTACTGCGACAAACCTCCTCGAGTGGACAAGCAGCAGAACGAAATATATAAAGACTATAGCGCACACCTGAACATGACCAGTTGGGATAAGCCCACTGTCAGCAACGCCGGTGCATAGCGTTATCTTACCCGCACCCTGGCGTGCGCGCCTGCGCCAAAAAGAATCAAACATCATCACTATGCACCCATAATACAAGAATGTTTGTACTGAAATATTGCATTTACAAGGGAAACGCCGTTGGAGTTGACCTTACCTTCGACTCTTGCCCACGACTCCAAGAGTGAGACCGAGACCCGCAAGACCCGCAGCTGCTATCGTGGCAGAGAATGCTAGGAGACGAAATGGCCTCCAAACGCTTTCAGTCGCCCCGTCGGGGCGGCGGCAACGACTTTTCATGCCTGTGAAGGGTGCGCTGCGAAGGGCCGCACGCGCACCCGTTTGATTCTCATATCTAATAACGTTTCAATCTTATGGTATTCAGCATAGATGCCTTTCAAGGAAACCTCCCTTCACAACGCCGTACGGCACCTAACTTTCTGTGCATGAAAACTGCACCGTGTACAGCTATATGCTGGTAATTTCACTATGGCTGCTTGCAGGTGTAATCAAACAAGAAATAATTAAAGGTTTTGGGCTTGCTTTGAGGTGGCTTGGGAGTCGTGTCAACAGATAGTGGAAAACAACAGGGTACTCCTAAAGCGCCACCTTGCATACGAGGCAAGGGCGAGGGATACTCCAAAAATTTCAAACTTTTCAGACCCTTTCATCCGCACCGAAGCTTGTTTGAGGGTTGCAGACGTTGTAGCTTTCGGATACATGGCCTGAACGATGCGAGATGCGTGGCGGGCGGGGATTTGCTGTGATTCTCATGCTGGTACACGTTTTGTAACAGCACCTTGCAACTCCTGCTGTACTGGATGCAAATGTTTCCAAGATATTAGCAATTGTAGTTCTAGCTAGGTCGAAGCCTCACTGCTCCGTGCGATCCCAATCGCCCTCATGCCTTGCAACAAATTATGTTTGCAAAGTTTTCGCGAAATCTAATTACTGTGTCTGCTGAAGCGGGCGCAATACGATTTACCTGTTGCAGGCGTCACTTGATTCAGAGCAGAAGTTTTAACAGAAACAGCTGGTGTACAGCTGGTGGTGGTGTGCTAGAGTATGCTCCATTACTTAGTGCATACTTTACGCTGACGTAGCTTTTGCCCTTAAATCGAGGGCCTTCCTCAGTCCTTGATAATCCCGCAAATACAAGGCGAAGGCAAGAAAAGTCAGGAGGGAAGCTGGAGACACGGCGAATCATGCAGGAACTGAACACGGTGCGGAAGCCGAAGACGGGTCGAATCCGGCGGAATATCCGTTCCAGTCACTCATCAATGCTTTGTGCTCACCAATAACGAAAAATATCCATAGATCCTCTACTTGGAGCTCGGAAGTGCCCCTTCCCAAATTGGGTTTCATTCGTGATTTTCACAATATGCTCCTACACCTTGTCAACCGGGAACTTGGATTCAGGTTGAGTGTTACCTCCATCTCTGCCGCTATCTCAACACTGGAGGCCAACTCAAAAAACCACGCACCCACCACGCACCCACACCGCAGCACTTGCTGCCATTTCAAAGCAGCCAGGCACGCAATGGTAAACCCGCCCGCTCTGCACCTGGCACCACACCAATCAAGGACACAGGCATGGCCCTAGGCGCCATCCCTACTACCCTAGCCGACCACTCCATACAAAAAAGACAATCCTATAGAAAGGAAGACACAACAAAATGCCGCTCCATCGATGACGCCACTCAAAAGAATACACAGCACAAATGAGCAGTAGTCTCGCACTAGCCACGAGCCCAACCGAGCCACGTCAGAACTCCGGGACTCAGGATTCTCGGGTAGGAGCACACAAATGCCCCTGAAGCTTCCAAAACGCGACGGCCAACTTCTCCTGATTCGCTTTCGCTTATCACGACACTTCAGCGTCACGTCCATTTTACCGTACGCACGTGTTTTGTCGATGCTACAGTCGTATGACGCGACACGCTTCCTCCCTTCCCACGAGCAGCCAGCTGGGCTACCAGCCCTCTTTAATGAAGCCCACCTGCCGTACATGTCCGTCGTACATAGTGTACACCACAGCAAATTAGCCATTCGTACACATACAGACACGTACAAACATGCGTCCTCTTCCTTACAGATACGACGCATGTTTTGCGCTGACATACATACATATGTACAAACACATGTACACGCACACGCACACGCACAGAACCCAGGCCAAAGTTCAACACGTGTCGCCAAGGAATGGGTGAGCTGCCCGTTCCGATGTACGACATTCAGTTTTCAGTTACAATGCGCGGGAAACCGTGCATCGTCAGCAAGAGGGTTCATGTGGCGGAGGAATGAGGGAAACTAACAGCGGGGTCCATGGTCAAGTGGAGGACCGCACACTCCCTGGGCACATCTCCCCGCTGCTAGCAGCGCAACCCGGCTGCCGTGCGACTACACAATCCGTGACATTGGGTTTTGGTTTGCCCGCCTTCTTTCCAGCCCGCTCTTCCCTCGCCTCCTCCCCCTCCTCACAGCGTTCTCTCTCTCTGCCTCTCTCTCTCTCTCTGTCTCTCTGTCTCTTCCCCCTTCATTCTCCCTCCACCCCTCCCTGCCTGCCTCTCACTTCCCCCCCACCTCCTGCTCACCCGCGCTCTCACTTCCCTCTGAGAACGTTCAGAACGTCCTCCACGCGGGATGTTGGGTTCGACCTTCTCCTCCGGGCTCTGTCCCAGGGGTCGCTCCACACCACGCTCTCACACCGTCGCATTTCGCCATACCACCCCATACCACACAATTGCGTAGATCCCACCAGCGATTGGCGTTTGCTCTTTAGAGCTTTTTCTAGCTTCCCAGTACGGAAGTACGGCAGACACGACTTGCTAACAGCTAACAGCTAACTGCTGATACGAATTTCCACTGCTGACCTGGCCCAGGACAGCCGTTATATGTGCTTCTCTAGCAGGCAAACAACCCATGGAAGTGCGCTCATATGCCGTGGAAGGAGGAGGGGACCTATGCTAGCTGTCACCGCCAAAGAAATATACATATTAAATCGTACCGTAACGGCCCACTGTACCGTAGTGTACCCTACCGTGACTCGTTCATGATGACATATTGGGAAACAGAAGAGTAAACAGACAGGAAAACAGACTGACGACAGATAGACAGACAGACAGACAGACAGGCAGAGAACCAGCAGATGACAAAAGATAAGAACAAAAAATGTTTCAATTTTTACCAATTTTTCTTCAGGTACTCCAGTACACAAGTGCGGTTGGGACTTAGTGACTTCGTCAATTTTATGGCACAGGTGTGGATGCCAGCAAAAAGCGCATTGCTAGCAGTCCAATACGCCGGAAACGGAGCACTGCACGAGAAGGGGTTCAGCTGACATTGGCTCAGCCACGAGGAATAGAAGGAAGCGCTGGATCACATGCGCAGCGCTGCTGCTGGCGGCGGATTGCGGATAAACATGTCCGTCGCCGCCTGAGTCGGGTGCGGACCAGAATCTGGATCTGGATTGAAGGGCCTCACCAGGATCCAAAAACATCGGAAGTGGCGCGTCAATGCGCGGCTGCGGATCGCGACACGCCGAGTCCCGCGAGCCGCGTTCGTTGGTAGTTGGTAGTTAGAATCCAACGTCGTCACAAACAGGCACTGCGGTTAACGGGGAGGAGGGATGCGTACGCGGGCCGGGTCGGGGCTTTTTGTTGAGAAGCATTTTAAAGACCTTCGCCGCGGGCAGGAGGCCAGCTAACGCATTATACTGGTGGGTCCAACCTAAAGCATGTGAAGAATGATCGCGGACACACGCAGCTATTCCCAAGCGCTGAAATCCTTAACTGCCAATTCAGCATCACCAGCAAGGCGCCCCGAAACCAACGGCAGAAAGACGAAACCAACGCCGTGACAACCATCGCAGCGTCAAAGCCCCGCTCACCCCAAAGGGCGAGGGCGAGGGCGATTTTCAATTCTATTTATGTCTTCGTCCCTGATCCGAAGGAGCTTACCCTCCATGCCAATAGGTGCCACACCGCCGCCATCTCCGTATGATAGGCCGTATGACAAGCCGTACGATAGGATCGTACGCGCCTCCGCCCCTAGCTGGTTCGCTGGCGGCTGGTTTACCATGGGTGTAGGGTATTGCAACTCGGCGGCGGAAATGGATGACCCGTGGTTCACTGGAGCCGTGTACCCGCCTGCAGCGCCCGGCGTAGTCCCACCGCCGCCGCCGCCGCCGCCGCCACCGCCGCCGACGCAGCTGCTTCCGGCGGCGTCTCCGCTGCGATCTAGGAGCTCGTCTGCAGCCGGCGGTAACGGTGCCGCGTGGGTTAGGCAGCCGCCAGCATGGTACGGCAGTACGCCATCTCTTAGCGGCGACGCTGCCGTTGCCGCCGTAGACGTGTCATTCGGCAGCTCCGGCGCCGCCATTGGCCGCGCTCGTGAGTGCCGTACCGTCAACTCCTCACATCCATGTTGCCGGGGCACCTCCTGCACCTCCTGCACCTCCTCTTCCATTCTCAAATGCTGCTGCTGCTGCTGCTCCACGCCACGACTCGCGGGGGGCACCTCCTGCTCACCTTGGTCGTACGACAGGGGGGGGAAATGATGGTGGCCGGGGGGCAGCTCCGGAACCACTTGATCGGGTTGCAACGGGGGCTGTGGTGGCGGCCGCAGCGGTTGGCAGTTAGCGTAGACCGCCATCCGAGCCCCCCCTGGAGTCCCACCTCGGCCCCCGGGTGCTCCTGCTGCTGCTCCCAGTGGAGCTCCTTGTCGCGGCAGCCCGCTATGAGGCTGAGCTGAAGCAGGATGAGGCGCTGCGGCGGCTGCACCGCCGCCACCGCCGCCGGCGGCAGTGGGCCGCTGCGGCGGATTCTCCGTCGCGAAGCCCCTCATGGTCATGATGATGTTTCGGAGCGCTTCATTCTGGGCTTCCACAGCTTCTAGACGCTTCTCCAGCAGTCCGATGTGGGTCTGCTGTTCGCGGATCTGCTCCTCCAGGGAGGAGACGTACTGCTTCTTGCGCTCCCGAGCCTGCTGTGCTGACACGCGGTTCCGGAGCAACCTGCCGTGCGCGTGCGAGACGTGCGCGGGGAGCAGGGGGCAGAGCAAATGGGGGGTTGTCTTGGAAAAGAGAAAAAACTTCTCAAGACAGATGGAGGAGGTGGTGGTGGTGGTGGTGGTAGTAGACAGAAGGACAGATGATTTATGGACAAGTATCGGCTGGGGTTCGTAGCTGGTAGGAGGACGAAAGCCAGAAACGAAGGATAGGTACATAGACAGGTCGGTGGACATACGCGGAGGAAAATCCGCTAAAAACCGCTAAAACCCTAAAAAGGGATTTGAAGACACGCAAACCTAGCAAATCGCGTAACCCCGCACAAGGCACAACACTCCAAAGCCAGCTCGAGCCTCGTCACCAAATCGAGGCCAGCACTACATACATGCAGACATGCACAACATACATAGATACATACGCACATACATACACAACATACACACACGTACATACATACATACATGGGGACGCCGAACAAAGCTTGGAGGAAATCAGAGACATACATACAGGGCTGCTTGATGCGGCTGTGCATCCCCCCAAGGTGTTAGTGGACCCATCTACCTCTTGAGTCGCCGAGCGTCTCTGTCGCTGCCTCCGGTTCCACCGCCCGACGCCAGGCGCGCCTTCAATACTCGCTCCTGGTCCTCGGGACTAAGCCTTGCCAGCTCCAGTTCGCCATCGGAGTGATCACCACCATCGTCGTCGGACGAGTCGGGAACCGACCCGCCACGGTGCCGCTTAGCGCTGCCACCACCAGCTAAGCCAGCTGCCAGGGTGGGGCCGGCAGCGGCGGCGGCGAAGCCGCCGCCGCCAACGTTGTTCCCGCCACATGGCGGTGATGGCAACGGCGGTGCAGGCAGTCGCGAGCGGCCCGCTGCGGCGCGCTCCGCGCGCGTTCGTGCGAGCTCGAGCTCTCCACGTTGTGATGGCGTTAGGGCCGATGGAGCGATCGGCACGGTTTCAGGAGGTGCGGGCAAAGAGTTGAAAGTATCAGGTAGGTTCGGAGGAGCTGGGGCTGGGGCTGGCAACGCCGGTACGAGTGGTGGTTGTGGAGGGAGCTGGGTTGTCGAAGGAGCTGGAACGGCATGAGGACCTGCAAATTGTTAGTAATTGGATTTAATTCAATATTAAGAGTGTAACGAGATGATTATTAGATTCTGCGGTGTGAGACTTGTGGTGACGCGTCCACAAACCTGTCGTCATAGGACCGTGAAGCGCGACAGTCCCACGAAATGCACCGACACCAGCAGCTGACTTTTGTAAAGGTAAAGGCCCTGTGTTGGATCTTGTGCGGAACGCAATCCCAAGATCAGAATTATCGTGTCCGAAGGAAGCCATTATAACCAGTTATGACGAGCGACGCGACACTTCCTTACACCACCATTCACCACAAGAAACAAAGTTATCAAATTAAGTGAGAGGTTCATTATACGTGAAGTAAATACCACAACTCGCCAATATCGTTTTTCCTGCTTCGCTTACCAGCCTTTCATCGGACGTTTCGGAGCGGCACGACAACCGCGCGGGAATGGCCGTGACAAGCGACTTCAATCCTTAAAAGCATAAAGAATCTGCATCAAATTTCTTATACATGTAAGTTTTACTGCTTCTACTGCATTGAATACTTTGGCAAACTTCTATCCTACACTGTCCAGGACCTGTCATGTTGTGCCAACACTGGTAGCCTGATACAGGTATTGGATATTGGCTGATTGTTTTTAGTCTACTGCAGTGATTTCGTCGGTCACAATATTGCTAAAAATTGTACAGTCGGTTGTCTGGGTATGATACTCGTTGGCTGAGTGTGGGCAATGAGCCTAAACGGCCCGCATACTAAACTCCACAGAATAACAAGATGTGCGGCCACAGCAGGCCTTGGACTCAGGATCAAGTTGACTAGCACGCGATATTGCCATTTGCATTTAAGCACGAAACAGGTCATGGGGAGGTACATATATGTACATCGAAGATGATCATGCTTCTATTTAACACTACCGCTGAGAAGATTGAGAATCAGGTCCGGCGACTACGGTTCTCGCGACTGTGTTCGGTGTGATTAGATTTGGTGCACTGAATAAACAGCGGGGGCAATATTTTGGGCTTGGACATTTTGCCCGTGTGAATGACAAAGGGAAATCGTCGATACCGTGGCTGTAGCCCTGAAGGAGGCCAGTGGAACTGAAGTAGATGTCCGTGTTGATTCACGCAGACAGAACCATTGGTTGGCAATCCCACCCTCGGGAACTGTTGACATGGGTGGCAGCTAATGGTGAATGGTGGATCGCTACTTGTGCGATTTAAATCACTTTGAACAGAAGATGGCTTCACCATGCGCTCGCTTACAGAATCCTTATTTTAATATCTAAACAGGCGAATTATCGCTGTTTCAGGTATGTATGTGAAGTAGGGCCAGCATGGCAGAAATTGACCCCTTCCCTTGTCGGGCTGGGCTGCTCTGCTGGTATGGAGCTTCTTATGAACATTAGCCACGACTAGGATAGGAAAAGCAGGGAAGCTTGCGTGCATATACATATGCATAGTTAGGTTTGACGCTGTTACGTCGGGCTCCTTGCAGGACCGTCTTTGCAGAGGACCGTAGATTTACGGAATTGGCTGGATGCTACATGGGAATAGGCCAGAAGCAAGCAGGCACAAAATTCAAAAGCCACAGCTGGCGATCTCACGTTCATAGGAGCGTGATTATCCTGAGCAAATGCACGCCACGCGTTGGGGAGCAATTTTTATCCTCGACTTTCCGGCACCACAAAAGTTACCGTGAGCGATCTGAAGTTGTGGACGCAGCTGTGCGTCGCGGCAGGGGTATCTCCATTATTTGCTCTTTGGTTACCGATAGCTTCGCCCAGGACTAAGGGTGTCCGATGTGCCTTACATCCTCTCTCCCAACTTCAGGTTTTTCTACTCCCTCTTTCCCAAGTGCAGTTTTTTTGCATCGTAAATCAGGTAGTACATTGACCGAAAGCGTTAGCTAATCCTGGCCACTCATACCGTATACCGACGGTTGAGTCAGGTTATTTCCTTATTAAAGGTTCAAAAATATGCAATTATGGGTGTCCAGCCAGTTTTTTTTAAAGATTAATTTTCAAGGATATTACTTTTCAAAAGTGTATCCAACCTATAGCCAACATAACTGGCCGGCAAGACAAAAACCCCGTACTAATGTGCGAGCAGCTCAAATGAGGTTAGTCCTTTTGGGGATGATATTAAAGAATATGGCTTTCAGTAATCATTCTATGAGTCATTAACGACATGGCTATGCAACCTCGGGCGTGTGTCATAGCAGAGCGCTCCGAAGCCAGGCGTGTGCCATGCTCATGCCTGGCACCCGCTCCTTTAATGCTCACGTGTGCCCGGGGAGTGTTACACTACTTCGAGCTGTATAAGAGTATTAAAATAACAATCAAGTAGGGTCGATCGGTGAACAAATAAGAAAATTTGTGGTCTCTTCAGTCCGGTCCCTTTAGCATTATTTCTTGCACTAGCATCTGTAATCATGTCCTTGACTTTTAGCCGAAGGCTTATTTCTCATAGTGATACACCTTCAACTTCGGGCCGCTGCGATAACCTCAGGCGCGTGGTCGGGAGTCACTCCATCCACAGGACTTTTGGTGAGCATCCGTGCGTAAAAGTGGTGGGCATATACTTTAAAGCCGTGCCCGTACTATGTGAGCAGCAATTATCTTGTTTCGGTCTCCCATTTTTCGTATAGCATGTGATTCCTCATTATGTCGCAAAAACATGTTTCATGGCCCGACGACGTGAACTTAACACTCTTAACTATCTTTCTATTTGGGTATTGCAGGTGTTGGACCTCCGCATGCCTCTCGCAACTCGACAGCTGTCGGCTCGGGCCGAGTCGATGCGTGCGAGTCCTTAAGGCCTCCCGCGGGTCCGTCTACCGTCCTCTGCTCTTCCTCCCTAGGCAAGGAGCGCAAAAAGCTCGCCAAAGTCCTGAAATCCCACCGCAAGGTCTTGGAAAAGCGGCTGTCTGCTCTCACGCGTGCCGAGGTCGAAGCTCCCGTTCTTTCGGAGCTGCTTCAAGAGCTTCGCATCCTTAATTCCCGTCTCAAAAGTCAGCGGGCAGCTCTCCTCATCTTGCAAGATATCAAGGACTCGGATAGCTCCTCATCTGACTCGGACGAGGAGCTTTGTGAAACACGTTCGGCAGCAGCGCTCTGTTTCCGTCGGGCCCTTTCGGCCACCTCACCGCGTCAGTCACAAGCAGAACTATCGGACCCGGTTTCAAAATCAACTCCACCTGCGATACCTGGCATGGTTGCCGACCAGCTTGCGGCCAGCAGCACTGCTACAAGTATTGTGGTTTCGAGTCTGGCTGGAGAGGTGGAGCTGCAGGTGCCACCTCCGCAGGAGGGTTGGTGCTGGGACGAGGATGAGTTTCGTTTAGCAAAGTTTGACGGCGCTGGAGGACGCGTCATGGTTTGCACCGGAAGCAAGTGAGTCTTACAATGAGCCTCCAATTTGTCTTTTTGTTTTTTCCCTTGCTGCTAACTGTTGTTCATAAAATGTTTGCAATCTGCTCACGTTGTTCCTTTTTTTAGCGACTTCAACCTCTCAACTCCTCACTTATTTGGATGACCCGACCATGTTTGCAATTGAATAACTTCTGCGACTGACCCACATCGCTATGTAGGTGCCAACGTAAGGGCGGCGCCGAAGTGCTTCGCGCCGTTTCTGCGCTGTCCGATGGGAACCCCAACATCGAAGTCGTGCCTTGCAAGTGTGTCGGCAAGTGCTCTGCTGGTGCGGCTCTCCGAGTTCGACCCATGGGTCAGCCCTGCGCCACGTACACCCAGGTTCGACCGGCACAGCTAAGAGAAGTCTTCCTGGAGCATTTTGCGGCAACGGAAGTGGCGCCGCCGCCGCTACCGTCAAGCCCGGTGGAGGGTACAGGAGTTGTATGTGGATTAGACGCGGCGGCGTCCTCTCCTGACGTAAAGCCGCACGTTACCTGTTGCTTGGAATGCCAACAGCAATAGCTGTACGGCCTGAATTAATCATTTTTGGATGAAAGCAGCTGTTGGGCGTCTGGATGAGAAGGTTTGATATTTTTTGAGGCGCGGAAAACGTAAAGAATGACAGGATACTCGAGGGGAGTTTTTAGGTAGACGGGCGGGAGGAATGGTTGGCTATTGGCGGGCTAGGCCCTTGACGCAGCACTGTCTTCCAGTTAGCTGTCTTGGCATGAATGAGCTGCAGATATATGTAGATGGATGCAAGTGTTTTGATGGTTTGCCGGTCATTTGGTTGTTGCATCGACTTCTTTCTGTGAATTTTGACAAGAATCTACCGTGCCGCTGGATCAGGATGCGTCGGTGAAATTTGGTTGATGACGCCTTTTTGATTGCGCAAAACGGCTCTCGTTGTATGGTCATGGATTGTTTTCCCTTCTTTCGGACAAGTGCAGTAACGGCCTGCAGCTGTACTGTACGGCAGGAACTAATGTACGGTTTTTCGGTAGTCAGAACGAGCTACTGCTTTTTAGGGCAAGGCATTTCGAGGTCGGTGAGAAGTCGTGTGTTTTCTTGAGGGTAGGGTTACTGCGTCGTGGGGGCCCCACATCGATCTCTTTATTTGTACTCTTTGTAGCATTTTTCCTGTCTTATATATAAAGACGGGTTCGCATGACCCGTGCGCATTTCCATCTGGCGGAGGGCCAAACGTACATGCTTTTGTTGGTGATTGTTTTTGGTTAGGTTGAAACTGTGCTGTTTGGGACACAAGTCATTCGCGTTCAGAGCTCGCTGAGCCGCACGACGTGTCCAGCCTTGCTGAGTTGCGTGTCCGCTGGACACTGAAAAGCATGCAAGTCGTTCCGCCGAGCTGCTTGGCAGATGGGAAGCGAGGGAACAATTCGGGGGGAGAAGATGGGCGCGCGTGTAGCCAGGCATCAAGCAAGCAAGCTAAATTTTTCGGACATAAGCAGCAAGTCTGTGATGTAATTGAGGTTTTGTTTGGGTCCCACGAGCAGGTGTGTGAAACGTTTAGATTATGCATGTTTCGATATATGATGTTGAGGTGCAGTACGCCTTCGCACATACAGGTTAAGTTACCTCACTGGCGTCTTAACTGCGTTTAGATAGGATTTGGGCATCAAATATCTTTGTACAATGCTATAGACATATGTCCAATCGGCATGTTCATGCTGTGTGTTGTACGCGCTATCATTAAATGGCCGTGCATGTTTGGTTGTGTATTATTTCGTTGAGGTGGAGACTTTGCCGAATGGCAGGTACATCATCATCGTACTTCGTACTTTTTTGTACAAATCTGTAACAGGACGGTACGGTGTACTGATGTCGTAAGCGCAGCTCAGGTATCGGCCCAACTCCGCGGGTGCTCTCTTGAGACAGGCAGCAATCACACCTCCTACATACCTCGTCTAACGATTCCCACTAGGAAGACTTACGTATCTTAAAAATAATGAATCCTCAGTTGTGCGCTTATGGCAGGGTGGCAAGAAAGTATCACTCAGCAGAGTATCCCTCAGGCATATGTGTTGAACAGCAAGCAGAGGACGATATGCGCACATGACAGCATCAGCACGAGGGCTATATATAACTCTACCGTTGCAACACGTGCAAGAGCAGTTATATATGTTGGAGGCCATGAAATGGGAGCCAGCACGTCTGGCGAGGATGTTCGAACGTATGTGGGCTCACCGAAACTCAGTTACCCCCTTTTGGACGCTAGTCTGGGCTGATGTGCGGTGTTTCCTTTTCTCCGTGGCTTTTAGGCGTTGTAGTATTTGCCCTTGGGCCTTCGGCTCATTTTACAGGTATGGGGTCACGCACCCCCCAACCATGTAACACACACATATCTCTTGAATGGTTCTTATAGTTACTAGTTCCGCATACAAGTGCGGGTGTGTCCGTAAAAGCCGGGGGTGCCATGGACGTTGTATTGGTATTGATGCGGGTACGCGGGAGGTCATCATCATTCTCCCTCGCCCGCTTTAGGGCGAAGCGCCTCAGCGCGACGTGCCTGGCCTCCCAAATTTCCGAGAGGTACCTGGCCAATGCCAGGGGGCGCCTCAGTCATAATGGTGCGCATGCTGCGCCCCTAAAAGACTAGGTCACCATCATACTTAGCCCGTATGCTCTTGCAAGCGGGACATTCATCGAAAACATCTTATAGCTTCATCAAAGGGGTTCAGGTAGCTGTTGTCAAGACTGTCCTTTTACGTCGTCGTACAATAGTACGGGTCGTACATCGGATAGCTACGTCTTCGCTGCTGTATCGCGTCCGGTGTCTTTTGAAACCACCTTGACTAGTTGTGATTAAGGATGAACGTTGCAACCGTTCATCAACCGTTGGCCACTTGTCGAATCGCCAGGGTATTATGCCTGTATCAGCCCAGAGCTTTCCTAACAAATGATTGTTACCAAAGTTACTTCAGATCGCGGCAGACAAGCCGTTGTAGTGCGAAGCAGGAGCGGTGGCAGTGCAAAATGGGCTTTGGTAGGAGTTGAGTATCAGTGAAAAATGTATGATGTATGAACAAGGGGGGTATAATTTCGCCCGTGGCAGCTACCCTGCGAAACCCTGCCTTCCCCAGTATTATGTATGAAAAATTTCCCCTCAGGACGACAGATATCAGCAAATGAAGAAAAAATGGGAGCTGTTTCATTGATTCCGAGGTAATATCTATCTTACCATGTGCACGAACAGCGAATGAGGTTCCTGAAAAAACACATGCATATGTTCTTCGTCCAAGGACAAACAGACATTCAAGACCGTTAATGCATGTCGTCACAATATTCAGGTCATCGGTATGTTGTCCGCTTCTGCGGGACACGTTTCTCCCCTTCTCCCAAGGCCCATCTAGGCCCATTCCAACACACACACACACGCACACACACACACACACACACACATGTCAACACACCCACACGGCTCACGGTCTCCACCCGCGCACAACCGCCCTGTCAAACCGCACCCAATAGTAGCACAACATGGTCGCACTTCAGCTGCCACCCTGAGCCGCCTTCGCTTCCCTTCATTTCCGTTCACTTCCCTTCACTTCTTCGCCTTCCCAGCTGCATCACCTGTGCAGCATCCATAGTCCAGCAGTTCCACACAAATCCTGCCACCTAAACATACATGCATTGGTGCATTTGCTATACAATCACCTGGCACCTCCCTCCCTTTCCATTTCCTTCAATTGTATCGCTGCAGCATGGCCAGCAGCGCTGCCATGTACGTCACGTCGAACAGCAGCCAACCCACGGTCAGCGGCAACACAAATTGCACCGCAGTTGAGGAGTCCCAACCCAGAAGCAGCTGCGGTAGGAAGCTACACACCGACACAGCCACCCCCAGCCGTGTCAGTGTGGCCTGGGACTCCTCACGACTAGCTGTCACCTGGAGGGTAGGATTCAGTTAGATTCAGTTGCATTCGGTTAGATGTGGAAAAGGGTAAAACTGGCTGGCAAATGGTGATGCGTGGAGAAAGGTTTCAATCGCAAGCTTTGACGGGTTATCAAGTAAATGTCCTTACACCTCAGATTGAAAAATGGAGCAAACAGCACCTTCGCGGTATCAACAGCCCAATCAATCGGCGCGGGTGGCGTAGCCGTTGCATGTGCCCTCGGTAGTTGTGGTCGTGTGTGGCGATGTGAGCGGGTGCTACTGCTAATGTCCAGCGTGGCGGCGATATGTGCAAAACCCACCCCACCTTACGCGCCCACCCCCCCGCCACATGGCTGCTCCAACCTCCCCCTAAGACCTAACCCACCTTCTGACTCCCCATCATACCATCTCCTCTCCCCCGACTGACCCTTTCCCCCCCTTTCCTCTCTCGTTCCCTCCCTCCTTTTTCCTATCGAACGCACCTCGTACACGGCTCCGGGAGCCAGTATCCGTAGTCCCCAGTCGTACAACGGCCACAGCAGCTGCTCCACCTTGAAGAATGGGCGGGAGAGGTAGCCAGCCGCCAGACCGCACACACAGCGAAATGCCTCACCTAGGATTTCGGGCAGCGGAGAAAGGGGAGGCGGAGTCACATGCCATACTGTTCGTGGGATGTGATGGCATGAAAACGATGGGTGAGGTGAGGGGAAAACGGGGAAAAAGGAAGTGGCCATATACACACACGTACACCTGCCCCAAACCCTAAGTCACATACACACATAAGGCTCAGATAAATTAAAAAAATACACGCCTTCCTTAATCACGCACGCCCGCATATCCACATACCCGAGTCGAGGCCCCCCCAAAGCTCCACTCCGTAGAAGAGCGCCCCGGCGGACAGCAGCTGCAGTGCGGTGGCCAACCTCAGCAAATCCACAAAGAACGTCAGAGGGTCCTCAGATACGCCCAGAGATTGCAACAGCGGACCCAGCTGCTCATCTGCCAGCTGCAATTTTAAAAGGTACGGAATGCCGTACGGCGTCGGGAAGCAGGGAGAGGAGGCAGGTAAGGGGGTAGGAAGCGAAGCTGCTGTTGTTTTTGCTTAAGCTAGTCGGCTCGTGAAAAGCTACAAGCAGCAACCGGAGCAGTAGCAGCAGCAGGGTCCGTAGAAACAACCAGCAAGCATGTAACAACTACACACAGGAAGCAAGAAGAGAAAGTCGCAATGAGCTCAGTGGTGACCGCATGCTGGTGAGTGACGGCACATGGTGTGGACTTAACCATCACCACCACCACCGCCATTACAGAGCAGCCATTGCCTTGACTCCCAACAGCATCCCTCCCCCCAGTTCCACACCACCTCGCGTCACATTGACCCAAATGGAATCAGACCGCACCACTACCCCCCTACGTACTTCACCGGGCCCGTACAAAGCCCCTGTGCACACCTTTTTCATGAGGCCCCCCGTGTCGCCCATAAGGTCATCAACCTGCACAGCGAGAGGGGGCAGCTGGTGTGGACGAATGCACGGACCGGGGCAGATCTGGGCGGAGTCCGGGGTTGGGTTGTGTCTAATGGGAGAGTTCGTTTGCGTTTAAGAAGGCGGGGGCTGTATGTGTGTGTACACTGCTTAGACCCCCCTAGCTAGGTCCCGGGCTGCAGCCACTTCTAACCTCTCTCGCCTGACCCTGATCCTGATCCCCATCCGACCCAGATCGATTCCAGATCATGACGGCGCATGACTCGCTGCCAAACTCTCACTCAAACCAAATCAAACGCCTGGGGCCTGTACCCTCCAACCTCCAGCTGGTGAAGGCGCGCGTATACACAAGTACGCGCCCTCGTGAGGTTAACGTTCCGAAAGCGTGGGCCTTCCGTCGAGGGGAAGGTCCCGTTGTATTCTACATTTAAGCTTGCCGCGTGAGAGAGTTATATAGCGCAGCCCAAGCCAGCATCGGAAACTCAGCCTACGTTGATGGTATCCAGAACCTGTGCCTCTTCGGGGCTGAGCTCCTTACGCACGTCCTTCTTGATTGTTTCCCACATAGATACAAGCTCCAGCTCTGGCTGGGCTGCAGAGCTTGTAGGTTCGCCCGGCGAAGCGGAGCTCGTCGGCTGATCGGCTGGAGTGGCCCCAGGCGCCGAAGTGTTTTTGACATTATTTACAGGCGAGTCCTGGTTATTTGAAGCACGGAGTACCAGCAAACGAGGTGGCCGTTCGCAGGTTAAGTGTCCAACTTTCACCGCGCCACATCCTCGCAGAAGTGGCTGGTTATATGTCCAGGGTCGGCTCTTGCGATGTCGACTGCAGCAACTGCTTGAGCTGTAACTGGTGGACGGAGCGCTGGCGACTTTCCCTGTACACTCCGCGAGGTGCCGCATCGTCGCGCTACAAACTGCCCCAAAGTGTTAATATGGGTAATCGGGGTATGTCTAAGAGACAGGGAATGCTTCTTTTCGATCACGTGTCTCAATGAAGGCCTGTAACCCTACAACGAACAGGCGAAATGCATCAAGCACGATATACGTTTCATATCAATACAGGTGTCCATGCATATCATAAGAGATGTTTTCCGTTCTTAAAAGTTGAAGGGCAAAAGGTTGGTTTCACCGTACAATCCTTTATAATTTCAATGACCCGGTACTATAGTGGTAGGATGCGGCGATCTTCATGAAGACTTTGTACTCGACGTATCATCGCATCGCTGTAAAAATTTACAACTAGCTCGCCATCGACGCACTATCTTCGAGCGCTTTCTTTCCTCTAGACCTCAGTTCGGAGCTTGGCATGACCGTGGGATTCCTAACCTTTTAGATTTATCAACTTATCGACGGGATAACCCCATTTTCCGCTACGTGCGGTGCCTCCATGTCGATTGCGCTGACGCCACAAGCTCCAGCAGCCACAAATGGTGAAAATGAGAGTATCGTTCAACTCCTGGAGCACTTCAAAGACGACGATGGACGTGTGGCCCTCCTTGTCAAGGAGCTGCAAGAGTTGTCCAACCGAGTACAGGTAACGAGCGGGAACTTTTCCAAGCCTCATGTCGCGTATTCTCCACAAAACGTCGTGATATTTTACCGTTATCGCAACTCGTCTGCAGGTGGCGGAATTGGCGACAGTTGACCCTCGCTTAGCAACCGCCGGCCGCCGAGGTAAGCGCCGGTTACCTTCCCATCCTGTCCTCGACGCGAAAACAACCAAATAAGATCATGTCTGCCAGACTAGAAAACGTAACAAAAGAAGCCGTGGTTTAGATCCACGTGATGGGGCCGGGGGCCTGGGCTTTGGTTTGGGCGCGCTGGGATGAGAGCACTCGCCACAAGAGGTGCGCCACGGCCGCAATCCCGCTTAGTGCTGGCTGGCGGTTACTGCAGCTACGACCGTTACACATATACCGCTATGTCTTGACCTTATCCGCTATAATTCCCCATCTCCCCGTTACGTTTTCCTCTTCCTTCACCTGCACGACCTGGCCCCTTCCTTTGGCAACTCGCTTCATAGGCTCCGGAACCGACAGCGGCGCCGGCGCCGGCAATAGCGGCGGACCGCCGTACCGCCGCGGCTCAAGCCCAACCAGCGCCAGCGGGGCCCGTCTCCGGGGAGCGGACGCCTTCGCTGATGCCGTACACCGTGTACGGCGTACGATTTACCATGGTCCTCCAAAATCGCAGCAGGGTCAGGGATCAGGCGGCGGCGGCAGCGGCGGCAGCGGGGAAAACGGCCGAGGCCAGGCGGAATCTGGATCTGGGTCTGGGCGGGTGGAGGAGGCGGTGCTTCCTGAACCACCGGAGGGTACGGAACCGGTATGGGGTGGTGGCCGGGGGATTGGAAATCAACGACATGCAAAACGGCGATGGGATTTTTAAGTGATATGGTGGGTTGGGAAAAATAGTGGGCGGTCCCAGTTACCAAGTACCCTCAACCCGTCTTAACTCGACCCCTCTCTCCGGGCCCCCAATCCACCTTTTTTCTCTTTCCCCCCCCCGGTGCACACTCTTGCCCTGGCAGCACCTTCACTCGTGGAACAGTATACATAAACAATACAGAGTTTCGTGGTTCGTCTTCCCTTCCCCCCCCCCACACACACACTTTCCCCCAGACCCCAGCCAGCCCCTACCGCTGCCCCCCGGAGGCCACGAGTGGGAGGCCCTCCAGGCCGCAGTCAACGATAGCGTGGCGTCGTTCGGCGCGGCGGCTGCCAAGATGGGCTGGAAGAAGTGGGCGCTGACTCGAGCACACTCCGGTGTGGGGGGGGATGTGGTAGTGTGTGTGTGGGGGGGGGGGGGTAGTGGCTGGGTGGTAGTGGGTGGGTGGTAGTGGGGTTAGGATTGGTGAGGGGGGAGGTAGGGCTGTGAAAGGGGGGGTGTACGGATGCGGCCGGGTGCCTGGACGTATGGCTGCAGAATGGGTGGACAGCGACGGGCGTGATGGACGTATACCAGTGGCGGCGATGGGGCTGGGGCTTCTTTGTATAGTGCGGGCTGCTTAGAGCTGAGTCACCTCTCTTCTCTCGTTAAAATTTACGATGCCCCATCTTATCACCCCTCGACTAGAGCTCCGCCTTCGAACATGACCTCACAAACTTGCTGTGCCCTCCCTCTCCCTCTCCCTCCCGCACTCACCGCTACCTGTCACCGCATATACAAACACCGCCACCGCCATCGCCCCAAAACCCGCACGTACGGCACATGTACGGCGCGACAGCCCTGCTGGTGAGTCTGTTTTGGTGGGTCGTGGCGGCGGCCTTTCGCTCCGAACACCCGCTTAGCAGACCGCTACAAGACTTTGCATTCGGACACTTTTGCCGTCATTACGTCACTGTCGTACTGAACCTGCGCGGCAAAGCGCGGGATCAGTACCAGCAAGTTTGGATCGAGATGATGGCGGCGGCGGCGCTGTACCTCTTAGTGGACGTTTTCCCTCGGTGAGTGAGGTTTTTTGTAAAGGGGCTTTGTTGTTAACTGCATACCATGGGTACTGCGTGGGGGGGAATTGTGTGAAGGGTCAGGGGCCTAGGGGTTCCTTTTGTAACGCGCGCTTTTGATGATGGCGGTCCTCCGTAGGTTCAATTTTAGGAATTTTCACTTGATCCTGATTTGTTTTTATATTTTACTCCAAGGCTGGCCGTTTAGGTCAGCGGTGTAACACAACACCCGGAAGCGGCGAACTGGGGCGTCAGCGAACAGGCCACCACTCACACTATATCAAAACGTGGTTTGCTTGTGTTGTGTGGTGCTGTTTGTTGTATGGTTGTATGGTCATACGCTGCGGCTGGTCGATTTTTCATTGGTGGCGTGTACGGCAACGGCGGCGCGGCGCAGCTCCCAACACAAATTCGACGACGCGTTGCGAGCCCTCATCA